ATATATATATATATATATATATATATATATCCCGTCTCCCGTGTATCTCCACATATGGAAAGAAACAATACTAACCTCTGTTCGTAGAACCCACCACCAAAGACCTGGCATAGGGTGCTGGAAGCGCCGACTTGCACAACGTCATAATGAATGCGTCACGAGCAGCCTCCAACTTAAGCATTCCACAAAGACCCACCATTAGTTGGAGCGACTCCAGTAGACTTGCAGTAATTTTTTCGTCCGCGCTGTGAGGTCAAATACACAGAAGAATCCATCAACATGAGGTGGACACGAAGACATAACATAGAAAAAAACTACTCCGACATACTTATACAGACCTGGACTCCAGTAGAAGTGCAAAGGCTGACAAGAGACCAGTCCAAGAGAGTGACACAAACTGTTCCCGCACGTCTGCTCCGCCGATAACATGACCTGTGGTAGGTTCCATAGGATCTTCGCCAACAGGGCAAGTTACAATGGAATTCAGGGTTTGCACAATCCGAAGCAAACATGATACGGCCAACGATAGACAATAGCCATCCTGAAGAGTAGGTGCTTCTGACCGATCTAGCAGGTCGACTCTAGAAGAAAGCGAATGAAAACATCCTGAAATCATTGGACCTGGAAAACACTTCTCGGAAGAGAATAGTCGACACTAAAGTGAAGAATGGTTATCATGAATCTTGATTATTCGGGGGCCCATAACAAGTCTGCACTCACTGGACACTAATAATCGAAAGGGCCCCCATTGTACTTGCGACGCGCATAAACACACTCAAATGGAAAGCACCCAGACACTGTGTTACCAGGAGATAAAAATAAAGATAATAAGAGGGCGAAATAGCTCCGTGGTTAGAGGGCGAATTTGCTGACCTGAAGGTCCATGGTTCAAACCCGACTTCTGCCTCTCGACTTGCCCTGTTTAGGCTCGCGCAACCAGAACTTTCTTTCGACTTGTAAATGAAAGCATGTTCATCTCAACCAGGTTATGGACACGTGATATCGGTACCACCAACATGCACAGTGAATTCCAAGTAATAAGTACTGATTAGTAGATGAAAATTTCTCTATGCCCACTAGGTATGCCGCTAACAAGAGTCAAAAGAACCAAACATTGATTGTTCAAGTTCGGAGACACAGGAAGGCCAGTCTAGCTACTTGAGAGCTCCTGGGGATTTCCAGTCACTTACTGACGTAAGGTTCTTACTAGAGGCAGTTCACATGACTCAAATTCCTAGCTCACTTCCACGGTACGAGATCCAATTCGATTGCCCGATGGTCTCGGGCAGTGTCCAGCTATGAGAACTGCAACGTTTTGAATTTCCAAATCCCTTATCACACTTAAACGTATTTCAGAACTATCGACAGTGATGTAAATGCGCAGACTAGGTGTGAATCTTGACTTGTCTTCGCCGTCTTCAGAAATTTGGACACACACAATAGTCCACTCTTTGAAGTAAACTCTGAATAATAAAAATCGCTACACGAAACACTTGTTTCTTGTAAAAGCTGGTTAACATAGCAGAACCTTCCTAATTGCAAAGGCTTAAAAAGCACCCCTGCCTCCGGAGCAGGAAAAATCACACAGCGTTACCGGTGATCGCTTGATTAGTCAGGTGTAAAAATCCTGTCTGGATGAAGCCACTTCGTCCCATAGATTTCGCTGTATTTTTCGCTTTAAGTTCATTGGCACAACCACACCTGCTGATGATGGCGCCGCACGCGCTAGCTGCCATTCCGACGTTCCCATGAATGGTGCGATAGCTGTTGGATTAGGTAGTTGACAGCCGATATCCCGCTAGTGTGCGTATAGTAGGATCGTATCATCTTGTTAAAGGCGACTGGTTTATATATTGCGCTTAGAAGTCAAACAACCCGAATACAGCATGTCATTGAGAACTTGCACCTGTTGGCGGTGGTTACTCATGCAGATTACCTAATGATTAACTGGGTGAACTACATTAATTCATGGATTGCACACCATTTAGGGTCAAGTGATCTTTTGCTAATGAACATGTGCAGTATAAGTCATACGAACAATCATACGAACATCTGTATCATCTTGCCCATGTTACAGTGGGCATTCCAACAAAGTTGGTGAAACAGAAAACATACTTTATTGGGTGTCAGTGGGTGGAAAATGCTACGTGGGTGAAAATGCCACGAAAAAATTCTACTACGAAACAGGAAACTGTGTTGCAAGAAACGAAGCTGTGCGGCTCAGCCTGGTTCCCCGGTTAACCGTAACGTCTGACTTTAAACGTCACATACACTTACCACAGTATCGAACCTGTGGTTAGGGCCACCTGAAACCGAGCCTTGACCACTACAGTCAGAGTTCCACTGCCGGATAACGCAATCACCAGCCTACCCAACGAGGTAACTGTATAGATCACTCATCAGATCACGCATCACAAACCCTCAAACCACGTGACAATTCCTGTCCCACTTGCAACCTGAGCCGACAACATGTACAGTAAAACTTCTCAACCATTTTCATTTACGCGGATACCACGCGCCAGGATTGTGAACTTCATTCAACACATCAGGTCAAGTGGTATTCATGTTCGTGCAAGTATCAAACACGAAGGGACACCCCTCTCTTCACAATGCACACAATAAATATACATACAATTAGGCTCAATACACACACTCGCGCGCACAGGACAGGAAGTTAACAGAGCTCCGCAAGTCTTCACGGACAACTACGGAACACGCGTAGCAACTATGCCGCAGAGAGGACAGGCCCCGCGTCCTGAACTTCACTCAGGAACTCTCAATAAGTGTCTTCAAACGATGTCACTTTTTTTATTATTCCACTTTTCGCATTGTATCTATTTCTATCATCATCATCTATCTTTCTATTTATTCATCACATTCTAGTAAGACTGATATTCTATAGTGCTTGTTACCTTCTGATAATCAACTTAATTACGTCACAACTAGAGCACTAACAATTGGTGAGCCCGACGTGACCGCTACAAATACTCCATCCTTAGCGAAGGAGAGAAGTAGGCGCTGATGAAATGGTAGGTGATGCTCCTGATTGTGGGGTAAACAAGATAATAGACAGTCTATGTGGATGTACTAAAATTAGCTTCAGGGGTAAGTAAACAGGAGGGTAGCCGCTACACAATCACCAATTAGGCAGGTACAACAGATTCCAATGTCTACTGGTGAGTTCACTTACGACAGAAAGCCTTGCAGTAGTGTTATCCACATAGCTCAGTTGAGTCGAATCGGTCACAAGCCTATTTACGGTACGAGACCGATGCACCAAGTCCAAGGAGTATCGTGGTCTAAGGCAATCATGTGTTATAGATTCAGGAAAATCCTAATTCCTTCAATGACATAATACAGGGCGCATAAGTTTGTTGAAAATTTTTCGACATCCCACGACCGGTTTCGCCCTTCTTATGGCACATCAGGTGGGCGCCATCCCCGAGTTTACGTCAACCCTGTGTTCTACTTGAACTCATATTGCAAGAAATTGGCGAAATACACTCATTTGCAAGAAAATTTGGTTTGCAGGAGACTCACTTGGAACCCAGTTGAACATCTTGTTTATGGTGTTTTCAGATGAGTGTATTTCGCAAATTTGTGCAATTTCGGTTCAGGTATCGCGATATCACGAATATCGTACTAGCTGGAACATGAGGCGGTCTGGTGCAGCACATTTAGTTGCTTGAAGACATCATAAAAGAGAGATTCAGCTGGGTTCTAGATGAGTCTCCCGCAAAACCAAATCTGTTTGCAAACGAGTGTATCTCGCTAAATCTAATCACTGTTTGGAGCAAGATACTACTTATGGAATCCATTTGCGTAAAGATGCATCACGCTCTTCACCACTGGTATGCACATGAAATTCGATTGTACGTATCCTCAGGCATGTGAGCCTATATTCGGTTGTTCAACTCATATTATTGCGTCACTAATAGCCTTTTGGAACTTCGTTAAACCAGATTACCTGTAATTTGAAGTTACGGAACCCGAAGCACAGATAGGTATATCTGTCATAAACTTCGATCAACTATTTCGACCCAGATTACCGAGGCTTTCCTCATCCAGCCGTTTGCAGAATTTTCCCCATCCAGGTCATACTCGATGAATAAACTGTAGAGCAAAAAATATATTCATTTGAACTGCAGACCACAGAAGAACCTTCGAGCAATAGTGCGAGCCGAACTTGGACGTTTGGGTATCTTAAATAGTCCCGCTGCAGAGATGAGCCGACCAAGCTTAGGTGATCAATCAAACGTGCGCTACCTTGAACATTGCTTCCCAGGTGTGACCGTCCAGTATCCTCTAGAGAATTTGGCACTAAAGTTTCGGAAACACTATATACCTGGCAACGAGCAGACTAAGTGACCTTGCTAAAAGCATTTCTGGATCATAATTAAACGAGTTTCGATTTTCTGTCAGCACACGAGACCGAATGACAGAAAATAGGGAAACCACTGAAGAGCATGAAACAAAAACAAAGGACGGCTGCTGCCTCAAGCGCGTTTGTTTTTGTTTTGCCTCAACTGTTTGTATTTATTTTTGTCACCAAAAGTACTTCACAGCTGCATTGAGCTGGCATGCTTAGAAAGCCTCCTTCGAATTCCCCTTACTAGTCCCTAATGGCTACGTAATCGATTAGACGTGCGAGAATTAGGATGGTTATCTGACCAATTCAATTCTAGAGAACATCTGTCGTTCAGCCCGATCACCCAAGAAAGAAGAGTCAAAGCGATTCCAGATAAGGCCCATTTGAAGTTGGTTTGGAAATGGAGTCAACTTTTGGTTTCTAGCGTAAATACGTGATATTGTATAGCGATTAGAAAATGACTGAAAAGGCTCGACTGTTCGGTCGCCATGGTTGATCTTTGTTCACCGACAAATCCATCCTCGGCACTCCATAATTTGGGTGGCGATCACCCACACCGTAAGGGTTAATAATGTTAGGCAAAGGTTTTTCTTGAAAGAATTATGCCCGCCGGCCAGTACAGCAGTGTGAGTTCGATATGGTACAGTGGTTAAACCGCGAATTTACTGATTGGAAAGTCCGTAGTTCGAAACCACCCTCTCAATCTCGACCGCGACGGGCTAGATTTAGGCAACCTGACAGTACCTAATCCCTCGTGCATCCTTCGAGTGTTATGGCACCCAAGTGCTGCAGCTGAACGATTATATTTTTAATTTTATTATCATGATTAGTAGTAGTATTAGTGAAAGGAAAAATGCCTTCGCTGTGGAGTTATTAGAACACATTAACTGAACAGTTACAGACCATTGGACAGAAAAGCAAAACTCTCTCTCATATGCATCTTGTATTCTTCTCGAACGTGTCTTTCTGAACTTTCCTGGATACTCATTGACTATCAGTTGAACGAATTCTACGAAGCAATTCCACGAATTCCGTATTAAATCTCACCTTCGAATACACACAAAGTGGAGTTACGAGAAAACATGTTACTCGTATGCCTCATCAGTAGTACCCAACGTCACACACCTATCCCTTTTAAAGGTCGCCCGTATGCCACCGATTTTTATTTACTTCCGTTAGGTCGGTTCCACAAGCTGGTTTAATCGGCCGCTCTTCGGGTGTACCATGCCACTTACGAAGCTGAGTCACATTTAATCTTCGATCCCCGACCGTCTTGAATTGTATAGACGTTCCCCCGGCGGTCGGTAACGACAAACGAACGTTGCCGTCGACTGCCTAGCTTCTGTGACCCCAGTTCACTCCTTCCAGGATTCTGATCCTCCCAGTTAATCTTCGCGCTTATGAGGAATCATCGTACCCTTCTGCTTGCCGTTTCCTGTCTAGTCCTTTCCTGAACGGTGGTTACGTTTCCTCGAGCTTTCCTCCTTTGTCCCTCTAGCTCCTCCGGAGACAAGCGTGTTGCCGGCCACATCCCAATTTCCTAATCAACCGGAAGGCGCGGATGTCAACCGTACATCGGCATGAACGGGAACTTGCCTGTAGTTGGCTGCATGGAAGCACGATGAGCTAGCAACACCACTGGCAAGTTCACATTCCAGTCACCTCCTTTGGCTGCCAGCCACTCCTTGACCCTTCGGTTATTACGTTGGGTTAGACCATTTGCTTGAGGGTGGTATGGTGCCGTCTGATGCCCAACTTCTGCAAGCAACTCTCAAACACTTCGTTCTCGAAGCAAGGCCCCTGATCGGTTAGGATCATCTTTGGCACCCCATGGTGGGCCACGCTGTGATTGATGCATTACCACTCCGCAGATCATCGTCGCCCGTTGATTCGGCACGGCTGCCGCTTCGACCCACTGCGACATATGCTTTGTCATTATCACGATATAATGATCTTCGCTGGTTATCACCGCAAACGGGTCCATGACCATAGCTCGCCGATTTTTGAGACAGGAATGGGTTCCATGGGATGGGTTGCCCCTGCCGTATCCCTCTTCGTCGGTTGCCATCGCTTGCAGGACACCACATTATCCATCACCTCACTTCTCATCCCGGGCCAGTAGGTTCTCTGTCAAGAAACAAGTCGTATGTCTTGGTGTATCCTGTGTGTGCCATCTCGCGTCCCAAGAGCGAGGTAACACGGGCTGCATAACATCAAAATCAGTGCCATTCCAAGAAATTATGCCAGCTCCATTCAGACTCAGCCGATCAAAGTGACTCTGGAACGTATCAAATTCATTCTCTCTCTCTCTTTCTCTCTCTCTGTTCCCAATACTCCCTCCATCCAACAAGACGACTGCGACCTTCCGTAACACAGAATCCTGTCGTTGGAGTTCCAGGAACATTGGAACCTTCTGGGATTCAGTTAAACGACGAGGCTATTGGCTTTAATCATGATCTTGGTGGCATCATATACAGCCTCTGGTCTTGTCAGCCAATCAGCCAAGTGGTTCTCCTTCCCTGGCACGTGCTGGATCGTGAAGTCGTACTCTTGCAACCGGGGTGCCCAGCGCGCGAGATTTCCGGGAGGATCTCTGGAGGTCCTGACCCACTCCAGGGGTTTTTATCGTCCAAGCAGATATGGCCTCCACTTATCCAGGGCCCAGACGATAGCTAAACATTCTTTCTCAATGGTCGAGTACTTCTGTTCAGCGTTAGTCAGGACACGACTGGCATATTCGATAACTCCATCCCTCTGCTTCAGGTTTGCGCCGATACCGCGGTCACTAGAGTCCGTTGCGACAGCGAACATCTCTCCGACCCTGGGCAGTTTGAGGGTCAGTTGCTGATCCAGCATCCGCGCTTTGACACTCTCCAAAGCTACATGTGCTTCCCTGGTCCATTCGAACTTCACATTTTGCACGAGCAAGTCGTACAGTGGAGTAGCAATCGTGTTGAAGTCCTTGACAAACCGGCTGTAGTATGCCGCTAGAATAAGGAACTGTCGTAAGGACCACTGTGAAGTGGGAACAGCACAGTCCTCGATCTTCGGCAGTTTTCCAGCAGTGGGATAACTTTTCTGTAACCCACTTTATGTCCCAACAGTGTCACCGAACTCCGAGCGAGCTGTCCTGCCTTCATTTATCCGCAGGCCATCTTCCCGGATACGCTTTCAATACGGACTTCCAGTAAACTGCGTGCTCTCGTTCCGAACTGCTGTACACAACAATATCGTCTCCGAACACGGCAACATTCTGTAGTCCCTTCGTTGAACGAAGCGTCAAGCACCGGAATGTGAATGGTGGCCCAGGCAAACCGGTATCCGTCTAAATTGATACTGGTTGTCCCCAACCGTGAACGCCGTTTTTTCTCGATCCTCCGCCTTGATAGGTAGTCGCCAGTATCCGGAATGCAAGTCGAACACCGTGAAACATCGGGAATGCTGGAGGGAATCGAAAGTCTGCGCTACAACCCCACTTACGGTCAGTTCACTCAAACGCTGGAAATCCGCGCAAAACCGGTATTTTCCCTTAGCCTTCCTTACACGCACAACCGGGGAGTTGTATACACTGTCAGCTTCCTCGATTGTAATGTTTCAACGTCTCTTGAAGTTAGCGAATATACACTCATTTGCAAACTAATTTGGTTTTTTCGAGAGACTCACCTGGAACCCAAGAAGGGCGAAACCGGTCGTGGGCTGTCGATGGATTTCCAGCAACCTCATGAGTAGTCTCTTGAACTTGTTTATGGACCTCCTCCTGTACATGGAGCGGCAGTGGACGGGGGCCGTAAGGTCGAAAGTATTCGGACAAAAGGGAATTTCGTGTTCAACCCACAGGCAGAAGCCAAACGAGTCATCATCCCCCATGAACAGCTCGGAATATTCCACGACCACGGACTGTAATGACGGCAGGTTACAAGACAGAAGCTTTGGGACATGCAGCTCGCCCACGGAAGTGCTTGGGCAACCTTCAAGCTTGACTGCCCCATACTTTGTCACCAGTTTTGCCTGCTTTATGTCAACCACGGAATCTGCGCTTTTGAAAAAATCTGCTTCCAATATTGTCTGCACTACGCCTGAGCTGATCAGGAACATGTACTGCACGGACTTGTCGCCAGGACGCATTGGGTACATTGACAATCCGTCAATTTTCAGTCAGCGTCCAGCCATTTCCCGTGCCAGATGCACCAAATGCTCAAATCTCAACTGACCAGTTACCCTCGTCAACCGCAAATGGACACAAAGTGTCGCCTGCACACCTTCGACGAACTGGTCAGACAGCAACTGCTGGCACGACACTCCGTCCACCCCTGGCAAGACCGGATCCAGCGATTGCTGCAGGCTGGCAAAGAACACCGTCGGGTCACATCCCGATTCCATCCTGGCAGTCTTGAACCGCCTCAGAGCCTCCTGGCGGTCGGCCGGTGTATCGTATTCGCCTGTAAGTGCTTCCTTCGCGGCTGCCCAGTCCATTTTCCGAGGGCCCCTTCTGGCCTTCGTTCAGCCTCTGAGGAAGGTCTTCCGCGCTGCCAACTTACCCCGGATTGTCTCCAGTCCAGAAGCCTCCGCAACCTCCTCGAAGTCCTCCAGGAAGGTTCGAACATTCCCATCCCCAAAGGTCTGTGGCCATGGGATCTTCATCCCCATCCAAATGAAGTGAAGTTATTTAGTAGAACACATTAACTGAGCAGTTACAGACCATTGGACAGAAAAGCAAAACTCTCTCTCATATGCATCTTGTTTACAAAAACTGAATACCCGTTTCCTTCTCGAACACATCTTCCTGAACTTTTCTGGATACTCATTGACTATCACTCAAATGTAAACGAATGCTACAAAGCAATTCCACGAATTCTGTAATAAATTTCATTTTCCAATGGACGCAAAGCGGAGTTACCAGAAAACATATTGCTCGCATACCTCATCCGTAATATCTACCGTTATAGCAGTAGTGACCGACTCCTAGTCATTAAATTATTATTGAACCATAGTATTAAGGTGGACACAGTTCATTTTAATTTGAAAGGTTACGTAAATTGCCCCCCAGAAAAGACTGATGACTGAAACCTGGATACAACGTTGTCTCCCTCCCAAGAGACAGCGAGATGGTTAGGTCCCAAATATACCTGAAGTAAAGAGGATGACCTGCCTTCCAAAAAGAGTGCTCCCAAAGACAGGATGGAATCAGCAAGCGGGTTAAAAAGTTTTTTTATAGCATATATACGTCACCAGACGTCCAACCAGACAATCTGTAAAGAATCGGACAGTACAAACGCCACTGACATCGATTAGCCTCCATTTCTTACAATGTCTCTACCCCATTCAAGTGCGGAACCCAGCCTGGAAGGCGGACTGCACCAACACACAAACTCTTTACAATCTTTTTCACACCTTTCCACCAAATCAATCGTTATCATTCTCATAGTTTGCGCCATCCTGAGGTAGGCACGGAGAACAGCACTCGTCTTGGTAGGCAATGTTAAGGTCTGCGTAGTACATGGCCCAGCCACGTCAGCTGGTGGAGTTGAGTGCCTTCCGCCACTGAAGTAACTGACCTGCAACCAAATTCCCGAATACTAGGGACAGGAATCATACGGTAAGTAGGACTGAACTACGACTGACGTCTGATCTGATCATTCGGTGCCAAGCTGCCATGAAACCCGAGGGAAACACGAGGGCTGGGATACTACCAGATTGCCCAAGCCTAGACAGAAGAAGCCGAGAGAGGGAAGCAGAGGTCGAGTTGGAACAACGGACCTTCCGGTCAGTAAATGTGCGGTCTAACCACTGAGCAATCTCGACCTACATACGAATACATGTATCCTGAAAACAATATCCTACAACTTCAACAAGAAAAAGTCAGATGTACACAGTCCAACTGTGCGTCGGGAAATTTCAGTTGTGAACTTACAAGAACGACGTCGGTTGTAGTATGAGAAAGAAGGAACCTTTGTAGTATAACAACGACTGGTTGGGGGCGTGAGGACTAACGAGGGCGTTTGGTTGACCGGATTCTTTGGCTGACGGGTACAATGGAAAGAAAAGGCACAGGTCACTTTTGAACTGAGTTCTGAAATCGAGTAATGAACCTTCGGTTCCTAGCGTAGATAAGGGATGACGTACAGCGAGTAGAAAATGACCGAGAAAGTTAGGCTGTTCGGTCGCCAGGGTTGATCTTTGTTCACCGACAAATCCAACCTTGGCTGTCCGTAAATTGGGTCGCTTCAGTTAACACAATCGATGTATGAACCCCGGTGTTTTCATCACAGGGAACACTTTTCAGATGCAATACACTTCTTGCGTGGTCAATGAGAAATATCATCGACAAGATATGAGTCTCACACGAGCACTGTCTCATTTTGCAAATGAGTGCTTAACTCCACAAGTGATTTTAAAAAAGCATGAAAGATGGAGCTACCGTACTTAACAGGGAGATAAACTGGTGACTCAACAGAATCCCACAGCTTGTGTGAAGCTCAGAGCGGCTTCAGGGAAAAATTCCCAGTCTAATGACCCATATATTTCCCGGGACCTTATCATTTGACGGACTGTCCACGTATATAAATGTATGCCCAAAAATACATGTTTGGTCTCGCTTGTCGCATTAGATTGTTAGTGCACATGTCACATAGGGTGTTTAGGAATAAAGTCCACGGCCGTAGAAAATGAACGTCATCAAAGCACACACAGCACAACATTTCAGAGTCCGATCGCAGATTGATTTTGACAGGAAGTGAGTTGTTTCAGATAGAGAATAGAACCAATGTATGGTTGTGCAATTGTCAGTTTCCCCAGCACTCTACAGAATACAAGCCGCATTAATAGCACAAGAATGATGGTAATGCGTAGTCCGAGCAAGTATGTTGAAATGAGTGTGACAGGAAGGTAGGGTACCTAAGCAAACAGACGACAGAAAGTTTATGACAATCGTAGAAATGAGTTGATCCAACTGGGGGGAATTCAAACACAGTCCTTAGTAATGCAGCCTTCTGTCTTCGGTGATGTTCTACTACAAACGAGCTACGTGAACCACAGTCTCCCTACAAAACCTCCCTCGTTATAACTAAGTCATGCAGGAGAGTATGGTAGCCTCTTGTTCGATATATGAAATGCCCCAGGTAATAATGTTAGTTAGTGTGGTTTCCTTACAGTAGCAGGATGACGTTGGCGGACCAGTACTCCAGAACTAAAGTCCATCGAAGATGAGAGATCAGCACGCCGATGAGGAACGGAAAACTACAGCCATCCTGCTATGAGACACATTATTAAAACCAAGACGACTTAGTAAGGTTGCTGATGGTATTTCCGCAATCCAAGCACCAAAGAATAGGCGCTAAATACGAATGACGAACATTTGAGAACCAAACCAAAAACAGCTTGGAGACCCTATCCACAGATACACAGAAACAATGATACCCACAGTACAACAGTAAATAATCTCTGAAACACTTACCCAACTCATCACCAAGCAACGGATTATTCAGGACCGTTTGAACATACTGACTCAACGTGTTGACTAGTTCGCGAAATATTTTCGTCGAATGTTGGCGCATATCGTAGGACATACACACATGGCTAGGCAAAGACGTTGGTGAAAAAAGTTGGTCAGAAGGCAAATAATCCCGTCTGGGGAGATTTAACAATCAACGTTCATTGTAGAAAAATCCCAACAGAAATACGACATTGTTACAGATTGTGCTTAGATTGTGTCTAGACGCGACATTGTAACATAAGCGGACTTGGAACAAAAGGCATAAGTGAAAGAGACAGTTGTTGGAGACATTGCTTAGCCGGAAAAAAAAATTTAGATACACCCGCGAGAATCCCATTTAGCTGGTCCGACGTTGCGAAAAACGACAAAATAAATGTATGGGCAAACGAAGCGTGAAAGTGATCAGCGATTTCCCACCCTTTGAACTACTGGTTTTATTATGAAAACGTTCCGAATGATTGAGCATCTTGACCGGTTCTCTGGGGAAAAAGACGGGAGATTTTGCAGCTGCCCAAATTCAACTCACTACCCCCACACAAGCATGAACGGATCACATTTTGTACAAAAATTAACATTCAAATAGACCAACTTTCTCATCATTATTATTATCGACAGAGCTATCTTCTGTTGCGATTTGACAACAGAATTAGCGTTCAAAGGGACCTGCACTAGGGAAAACTATATTCGTCACACACGGATCATTAATCAGTGATCATTGAAACTTGTTCTAGTAGGATTCTACGGCGCAACAGGAAAGGTCTTAAAGATGGATATGACAAAAAGCATCCCTGTCTAACTTATGCCGAGTTTTCAAAACAACCTAGCGTTTATACCTCTGAAGTGGCGAATCGTGAGGGGTCTTTCATTAGACTGACAAATGGCTGTTATACTTCACCCTACGTTTTTGCAGTATGAGACGCATGGACGCGTACTGTGATTCGCGTTGACATAGTATTTGACTGTCTATAGAAAAAGATAGAGGTATTACCTGAGGCTTAGAATGTAGTAAAATGAATGAACTAACGGCATCAAGCACAAGAGGATAAATGGAACAAGGTCATGACCCCAACCATATTAGCGTGAACCAATCATAAGCGGGGTAGGTATTTAATAGTGAGGGCTCGTGTAAGTGAACCGGAAACCCAAGGTTAGGCACCGCATCTAAATTGCACCAAAATTCGCTCCAGAAGACGGGTTTCCACAATGCGATTTCACTCGGTATAAAAAGTACACAAAAGGACGCCAGCGAAGCTTGTCCGGCCAGCTGAAATCTCTTAGTAGAAGAACAGTTTTTCTCATAACTAGGGAGCTTATCGCACATTTACACTGTTAACTGTAATATTCCACGATATATTTGCAGTCGTCTGGTGAGAAACAGCTGATGCTGACTTCCGGGTAGGGATTGTCTTCAGTCCCTAAGAGGCTTAAATGGCTGTTTATCAGGTTGAGCTATTCGAGGCCACAAGAGCACGAGTTACTATCAACGTGAACCGTCACTCTGTTCTGTTAGTACTTTATAATGACTAACCTGGACTATAAGTCTCTCAGGCGCACCTCGTTTGCGTATAAGAAAAGCGTTCCAAAGGCACTGAAGTTATCTTGCCTTAACTCAACCACGATTCGCAACCACAAAGTAGCTATGAGTGCACCATGCCGCCAAAGAAACTGAAAACTCAATGCAAGGTTTTCGAAAATGAAATCAAACCGGGTTCTCAGAACCTAATCCTACGGATAAGCTTGTCCGAATAAGTAATCCAGTTCAACATCGCTAAGTGGCAACAACATTCTGTCCAATAAAAGTGAGAAACATGCTACAAAACACCAGTGACACCATTCGCGTGCTTCCTATTATGGCGCGTAGTGCCGTCCGCTCTAAAACTCCAGGCTATCCGTCTGTAGGGAATCGAAAGACAGGAGCAGTAAAAGTTGCCAAGGTTTCTTAGATAACCAGTTCGAGCGTAAAGTCGAAAGAACTCGATAAAGCTGGTGAACACTTTTCAGGATATTTAGGATAGGTGCTGTTGCACTGAAGCCGGTCGACTGATATGGACAGCCAAAATGTGGTGCTCTTGACTGAGTCTAGGTAGTTAATCTAAATGAGCTCGAGAATGCTGTGGTTAAAACGACAACTTACGAATCAGAAGGTCCGAGGTTTGAACCCAACCTCTGCACCTCGACTGATCCTGTCTAGGCTTGGGCAACTTGGCAGTAACCCAGCCCTCGTGCTTCCTTCCATTGACATGGCAGCTAGGCACCGAAATGGTGCTACAGTCGAACGATTACCTCTTTTCAATTAGTCTAGATAGTAGGCTAGGTAACTATCTATTGAGTAGAGTGTCTGGGAGTAAGATTGCTTCCCGAGTCAAAGGCTGACAAGTGGAATTCAGTTAGTCGAATAAGTGACGGACAATAGATAGTTTCATTTAGCGTCAAGAAACCTGATCAATGTGAAAAACTAAAAAATTGTCACAGCTTACCGAATTAATTCTGGCTGGGCAGAAAATTTGTGCAAAACTTCAAGTGCGAGTGCACGCTGCCAAGCTGTCTTCTCGACATCCAAGAAGCGAATCAATAAAGACAGGTATATTTCACATTCGGTATTCTGAAAGTTAGAAAGGTCAAAGCCGTTTGGATGGGCAATAAAGAGAAACTAGAGACTAGTCTGTGTTCATTCAATTACATGCGGACAAAAATCGGATTTCGCCCAAAAGAAATATGATAGATACCCATATCCAATCCATTGTTGAGTCTATCGTCCACGAGTACTTGATTAAAAGGTTCACGAATGTTGACGCGGGACGTGGAATATTCAGTACCAAAAACCATCAGTGGTACCGAGTGTTGGTAACAAAAGTGAAGGGTAGTCTACACAGATGTCACTGAAGATGGTCGGGTGTAATAATAATCACAATGATGATAAACAATAATAATAATCAACCAGGAAAAAGGTCAGGATATTCAACTGTAGCGTGTTGTTTGTACTTAACCCAGAGAAAGCCGGATGAGTGTCCAACAATTATGGACTGATCACGGCTTTTGGGATGCAATGCCATAGTACCAGTACAAAACAGCCTTATCCGAACGACTAGTGCAAACCCCCAAACAAATAAATGTTGGTTACTAAACCTAGTTGTTCAAGGGACACCTCGAATCATGGGTTCTGAAGCAAGTAATGGACTTAGCCAAAGCTACCAGCCTCAAGCCTACAAAACAACGTACCAGCAAATGAAAATACTGTTCCACCGTTACGGTAATCAAACGCTTCAAGCGAACGAGCAGGGGGAAGGTTGCTTTCTCCCCCGAAGTCGCACTTGTGGAAGAAGAATAGACAGCTGCACTGGCGTGGGCTACCGCAGCAGCTGCGGCGGCCAGTGCTGCTGAGGCTACTTCGGCCAGACCGGTTGGTGACGAAGCTGAGGGTGTTGGGCGCAATTTCAAACTCGGGGAAAACAGTTTGATCACCAGTGGACACAGATTTGTTTTCAACAAGTAGGCGAACGCCACGTTCTGAAAATAAACACACAAAAATTGCTCATAATAGAGCACAACACGAATAACCCAAAAAATGAAGACAATAAGAATTATATCGACCATAAGAGCGAAGTATTCGAGGAGACTGCTCAAGGTAGATGTTTGCTTATCGAAAAGTGAAAAAATTACTGCAACGTGGAATAAGTGAAGAAATTAACATGAGAGGAGAGACAGATATTGAATCCAACGTTAGTCCGGTACACCTACCGCGGAGCACTGGTTCACATAGCTTCCATGCAATTCACACAACCAAGGAGCCTGAAACGCTGTCCTTTTGATCAAGCCTACGGGGACTTACACTTAACGCACTCAGAGCTCAGGACTCATAAATGGTTGTGTTGATAATGGGACCTCTTGTGTTCAGAAACTAAAAGTGACAACAGACGGTCCATGAAATTGAACCAAGAATCGCTTAAGTGGATCTGACGGCTACCGAATTCACCACAATCTGTTTTAAGCACCCTGAGGTGTAGGACCGTGAGTAAGAAACCCCGTACGGCGAGCATCCTTCTAATACGACTACGTCCGTTTACATCAAGTTCCTATTATGATAGTGTTGAATGACGTACAACTCATATATTCGCAACAGCTACGGCAGAGTTACCTAGTAATAACAATTACACACGCACTGTTCTTCCATAAAAGTTATAATGAAATGCACTTTGAAAAACAGAAAGCACTTGTTTGTACCACATTACACTGCACCTTCTCCCCTAATAAAGTACCTGACTGAACCAATACACGATCACTTTATAGGTTTCCTAACCTTTCGATTAGTTTAGATTACAAGGCTAGCTGCGGACATCAGCGCGTCTTAAAAAATAAGCGGTCCGAACGGCAAGCCAAATCGAGAAAGGTGAAGAAATGAATGAGAGAAAGCCGACATACTTGGCGGAACAATCGGGAGAACTGAGTGATTATTGACTCAATGAGTTCCAAACCAAGAGAACGATTAAGATCGAGCGTGCCAGTCAGCCATTGAGCTGGCTCATCGTTCAGAAGAGCGCATATATCCTGTCACAACAAAGGAAATAAAAACAGAGGATTTTAAGCACACTATCGTAGAGGGGGAAGACGCAGTGGCGCTTAGAGAACAATGTATAACTTATCCCATATACGAAAATAGAGGTTAAAGATACCAGTCTGTGTTGAGCTAGACCTAGTAATAATGAAATGTCTGCATGTGTCAGTACTCCTTCACCTGATTGGAAAATAGCCAAAGGCGGTCACACAATTACTTGGCAACGAAGTATAAAAGCCATTACCAGCAAACTCAGCTGAGCTGGTCATTGTCATCTTCCTGGATGGGGACCCGGAGACGAGCCACACCAATGGCTACAGATATTGTAAGACATGGCCCAGTCACGCCCTCAATGGCGCTTAAGCATCCAAGCTACTGCCTTCCTGCACAGCTCGCTTCGCAATTCCCCCAACCTAACAGTCCACTAACAGTGCTGTATTTACGCACCAACTTATCAGCTCCCGCCTCCAATGCGCAGCTACCTAACCCACCTCTCCAAATCATCAGTGAACGGAACTGTGGTAGCTACAACCACTGTACCCGGTTATTATGGCTGACAATGATGACTGGTCATAGATGAGCTATAAAATATTAACAAAGGTTGGGCACGGCTCTTCAGAAGCGGCCGCTTTCTCAGAATATAGTTTCACCAAACCATCGAACTGACAGCAACCCTACTGCCCGAAATCAACAGTGTGGTTCGAACGATATCCACATCAGAACATTCTTCTCCATATAGCGGTAGATAGAATAAATAAAAACGAACAACCAGTTCAACAAATTACGATTGAAGGGAGCAGGCATATTGCAAGTGACGGTTTTTCGATCCTCGATAGAAAATGTTCAAAGCACGATCAGTGGTTTCTCGAACCAAAACAGATTGCCACGGCGATTGTACGTCTCCACTAAGAACATTTTCCCTAAAACTTTGAGTGACAGTTTTGTGCTTTCCTGTATAATAAAAAGGGATATTTGAACATGGGGTACTAATAGCTCTGGTGGGAATGGGCTCATATTCACGGCGAGTCTCATACTACTACTAAAGAGCTAGTAACGCAAGAAATATGTCCACTAATAATCAGGGGATAAGGTGCGTCGTGAGATGGGTTTGCAAGAAATGAAGGAAATGTGAGAAATTGCGCAAACCCATCGTTTTTAGACCTTTCTCAATAGAGCCACATGATTTACACCACAATTTCCACACACCTGAAATATTTTGCGCCAAAAGTTGGCATGTTTAAACAGATCACTACTACACACACCTGCTAAATCAAGCTTCGTAAAAAAAACTCCGGTTTCAAGTGTTGAGTTCCATGTAAAAAGGATGGAAGGACAATTTCGCCAAGATCCTTAAGCCAGTAAGGTCTTCTGCGCCTTAACGTAAAACCCCTCTACTTCAAGTACTGTAGCATTTTGTCATCATATTTTGAAATCTTTCTAACCCTCAAGTGTCCATAGTTAATCGCCCCTGTGAGGAGCGATTATCTCCCGATTACTGTGCGAAGACTACTACCGTGCTGTCCTCAAACTCACTTCCGAACCAACTGTATGGCTTTTCGCACTCGTCTTAGCCACGATTGGTTCACTCCATGGAATGTCAGTTTATGAGACTAAGGAGTTGTAAACGCCATTCGGCGTTTACGAACGTATTCAGTCCAATGGCTACAGATATTGTAAGACATGGCCCAGTCACGCCCTCAATGGCGCTTAAGCATCCAAGCTACTGCCTTCCTGCACAGCTCGCTTCGCAATTCCCCCAACCTAACAGTCCACTAACAGTGCTGTATTTACGCACCAACTTATCAGCTCCCGCCTCCAATGCGCAGCTACCTAACCCACCTCTCCAAATCATCAGTGAACGGAACTGTGGTAGCTACAACCACTGTACCCGGTTATTATGGCTGACAATGATGACTGGTCATAGATGAGCTATAAAATATTAACAAAGGTTGGGCACGGCTCTTCAGAAGCGGCCGCTTTCTCAGAATATAGTTTCACCAAACCATCGAACTGACAGCAACCCTACTGCCCGAAATCAACAGTGTGGTTCGAACGATATCCACATCAGAACATTCTTCTCCATATAGCGGTAGATAGAATAAATAAAAACGAACAACCAGTTCAACAAATTACGATTGAAGGGAGCAGGCATATTGCAAGTGACGGTTTTTCGATCCTCGATAGAAAATGTTCAAAGCACGATCAGTGGTTTCTCGAACCAAAACAGATTGCCACGGCGATTGTACGTCTCCACTAAGAACATTTTCCCTAAAACTTTGAGTGACAGTTTTGTGCTTTCCTGTATAATAAAAAGGGATATTTGAACATGGGGTACTAATAGCTCTGGTGGGAATGGGCTCATATTCACGGCGAGTCTCATACTACTACTAAAGAGCTAGTAACGCAAGAAATATGTCCACTAATAATCAGGGGATAAGGTGCGTCGTGAGATGGGTTTGCAAGAAATGAAGGAAATGTGAGAAATTGCGCAAACCCATCGTTTTTAGACCTTTCTCAATAGAGCCACATGATTTACACCACAATTTCCACACACCTGAAATATTTTGCGCCAAAAGTTGGCATGTTTAAACAGATCACTACTACACACACCTGCTAAATCAAGCTTCGTAAAAAAAAACTCCGGTTTCAAGTGTTGAGTTCCATGTAAAAAGGATGGAAGGACAATTTCGCCAAGATCCTTAAGCCAGTAAGGTCTTCTGCGCCTTAACGTAAAACCCCTCTACTTCAAGTACTGTAGCATTTTGTCATCATATTTTGAAATCTTTCTAACCCTCAAGTGTCCATAGTTAATCGCCCCTGTGAGGAGCGATTATCTCCCGATTACTGTGCGAAGACTACTACCGTGCTGTCCTCAAACTCACTTCCGAACCAACTGTATGGCTTTTCGCACTCGTCTTAGCCACGATTGGTTCACTCCATGGAATGTCAGTTTATGAGACTAAGGAGTTGTAAACGCCATTCGGCGTTTACGAACGTATTCAGTCCAAAATTAGACTTTTCGACTTAAAACAAGGTGGTAAATCAGCAGCTAACCATGAGGCCGCATTTTTCATCATATCACAAATTGCCGATGTGCTGACGTTTCAAGATGGTCTCTTTACTCACATTTTCTAAATCGTTACGAAGACTAGTGAACGCCCATGACATTCGCCCTTCAGATTCTCAAGCAAAAACGACTCGACAGATACTGAGGAATTAGGCCCACCTGAAGATCCCCAGAAAGGGTAAAACCGGTGGCGGGTTGTACGGAGCTCTCATCGACCTTATGAGCAGAACTGATGAACCATTCCTGTTTTACTTTCCACGTGTCGAGGAGGACCTGAGGTATGTGAATGATTCTAACAAAATGAGAAACTGCGAGGTGTAGGAAAAGTCGGTAAGCCGAATGTAACACTCTCATCATCCCACAGACCACAAAAATCGCTGGATTTCACGTTTCGATCTATTGGTTGCCGGGTGCGGGCGTGAACTTGCATCAACATGCAATATTCCTGTGATTTCACTCAACAACCCACATTTGGCAGCGCTCGCATACAACTAGCAGATGGACTCAAAACGAAAATCACGCGGCATGAGCAGACGAAGCACGAGCTTGCAGCGAAGCGAATGTCCACATCAAATTGCGCCTCATCATCATCAACACTGTCAGCTGTAATGACCGCGTACTCGTCGTACTGTGGTTGTAGCTGCCGCAGTTTCGTTCACCGATGGTTTGGGGGGTAGAGGTAGGTAGCTGAGCGTTGCAAGCAGGAGCTGATAAATTGGGGCATAGATCCAGCACTGTCAGTGGGCTGTCAACTGGGGGGGTTGAAAAAGGAGCTATGCATTGAAGGCAATAGCTTGGATGCACGAGCGCCATTGAGGGCGCGACTGGGCCATATCTGACAATGTCTCTAGCCATTGATGTGGCCCGTCTCGGGGTCCCCATCCAGGAAGACG